GAACGTGTCCAGAGGAGGGCAATGAAGATAGTGAGGGGTCTGGAAACCAAGTCCTATGAGGAAAGGTTGAAGGAGCTGGGTATGTTTAGCCTGGAGAGGAGACGACTGAGAGGTGATATGATAACCATCTTCAAGTAATTGAAGGGCTGTCATTATAGAGGATGGTACGGAGTTGTTTTCTGTTGCCCCAGAAGTTCAGACCAGAACCAAAAGGTTGAAATTAAATCAGAAGAGTTTTCAGCTAAACATTAGGAAGAACTTCCTGACAGTTAGAGCAGTTCCTCAGTGGAACAGGCTTCCTCAGGAGGTGGTGGGCTCTCCTTCTTAGGAGTTTTCAAACAGAGGCTAAATGGCCATCTCACAACAATGCTGATTCTGTGAACTTAGGCAGATCATAAGAGGGAAAGCAGGAAGGGTTGCATCAGTGCTTAGTTCTTGTGGCCCTTTTTTTACATGCCCAGGGAAATGCTGATCACCACTTTGGGGTCAGAAAGCAATTTTTCTCCAGGCCAGTTTGGCTGGAGATCCTGGAGGGTTTTTTGACATCTTCTGGGCATGGAACAGTGGTCACTGGGTGGTGGTGGGGAGGTATTTGTGAATTTCCTGCATTTGCAGGGGGTTGGACTAGATGACCCTGGCGTTCCCTTCCAACTCTATGATTCTATGATCGGTACATACTGGCAATATTATTATCTCCATTATATTTAATAATTGCTTCTGATACAAGGCCAGATACATTTGTAGCCCCACAAACAAATGTTTTTGTGTGTCATTCAATTCCAGATTGGAAGTAAGTATATTAAATTGGAGTACAGTAAAATATTCATTTTTAATATTGGATGGGATTTTTCAAGTGGGTAATTTAATATTAATCAAATATTTTTAATTTTTCCATACAGCATTCCATTTTTGGTCCTATATCAATAGTTTACTGCCTTATAAGTATAACAGGGGCTTTGTTGCATGTTGCATTCTGTACTATTTCGACTTCTGAAGAAGGCTTTTGTGGGTCAAAACACATCAAGTCATATGGTTCATTTTGTGCATTTGCCACTTTATTTTGTTAGGCTTCATTTGGGCCTCTACAAGGTTTTTATATGTTTCTGAAATAAGCATGTGTACTTTTGTCCATACCTATTGATGTTTTTATCTTTTGGCCCTTTACTAGTTTTCTAAACTTCTTTTGGAGGTCTTTAAAGATCAAAAACAACACCTTGAATTTGACAGAAGAGCTAGAGCACATTGCAATAGTCCAGTCTAGATGCAACTAAGGCATAAGAACATAAGAACATAAGAGACGCCAATGTTGGATCAGGCCAAAGGCCCATCCAGTCCAACACTCTGTGTCACACAGTGGCCAGAAATACCAGTGCCATCAGGAGGTCCAGCAGTGGGGCCAGGACATTAGAAGCCCTCCCACTGTTGACCCCCCCCCAAGCACCAAGAAGACAGAGCATCACTTGCCCCAGAGCCCCTAGCTATACCTTGTGGCTAATAGCCACTGATGGACCTCTGCTCCATATGCTTATCTAATTCCCTTTTGAAGCCGTCCATGCTTGTAGCACCCACCACTTCCTGTGGCAGTGAATTCCATGTGTTAATCACTCTTTGGGTGAAGAAGTACTTCCTTTTATCCATTCTAACCCGACCGCTCTGCAGTTTCATGGAGTGCCCACGAGTTCTTGTATTGTGAGAAAGGGAGAAAAGTGCCTCTTTCTTTACCTGCTCTTTCCCATGCATAATCTTATAAACCTCAATCATGTCACCCCTCAGTCGTCTTTTCTCCAAGCTAAAGAGCCCTAAGCGCTTTAACCTTTCCTCATAGAGAAAGTGTTCCAACCCTTTTATCATTCGAGTTGCCCTTTTCTGCACTTTTTCCAAAGCTATAATATCCTTGGCATGGATAACTGTGGCTAGATCTGACTGAACCGGGAATGGCGCAACTGGCGTACCAGCTGAAGCAGGGCTAAAGCACTCAAACCACAGCAGATACCTGATTTTCTAAGGTTACTGTTGTGTCAAGCAGCACTCCCAAGCTGAGAACTGACTTGTAACCTCATCCAAGACAGGGGTGGTTGCATTTTTTAATTTTTTATTTATTTATTTACATGGGATTTATATAACGCCCATGACCCCTAATGGGTCTCAGGGTCTGAGAACGGTTCACAGTGTACTACAACGTAGTTGATACCTATCTAGGGCCACAATTCTCTTAGGGAAGGGGATATCCTACCAGCACCCTTTTTACGGCAGAGTCTTTCTTCTCCGGCAGCTTCGTTGTTTTTCCAGCGATCCGGATGGCTGACGACCAGACTCGAGCAGGCTTTCTTGATTTTTTTTTTACTCCTTCGGAGCGCCGCATCTCGGGCACAGCTTCCGGCCAATGTCCCAACGGCTCCTGCCGTGCTGCGTCCCACGTTATCACGTTGCTCCGGCTCCAACTCCACCTCCGCTTGATCCGGCTGCTGCCTTCCTGGGTCGCTCTCCGCCGCCATTTCTTTAACACCGCCGCCGTCTCTCTCCTTTTCCTCGCCGCTGCCGATCGCCTTCCCAGCACAGAGCCAGGAGGAGGGTGCCCCCTGCCACCTAGGGCAGGTACCCATTCCTCTGTTGTTATTAGAGCCGCTGGGTTGGCGGGAGCTGGGACGGGGGACGGGGGCTCAACCCGGCCGCGGTGGGGATTCAAACAGCCATTGTGGCTGTTCGCTACAAATGTTAACCGCAGGCGTCGTATTGCCTGCGCCACCGCTCCCCTGGTCTGCTTTGTGACTAACCTGGAGTACTTCTGACTTGTCAGGATTCAGTTTCAGCTTGTTCATCCCCATCCAGCCTTTTGCTGACTTCAAGCCCCAGTTTAGAACACCAACAGCTTCCTCAGAAAAGAAAGGTAGAGTTGGGTATCATCCCCATAATGGTAACACTGCAGCACAAAGCTCCTGATGACCTCTTCCAGTGGCTTCAAGGAAATATTAAATAGCATGAGGGATGGAACCCCGCCATGGGGCAGAGCAGGAATCCTCTAGCACCACGTTTTGCCATTGACCTCCCAGAGAGGACTCAAATCACCATAACACGATGCCTCTTAATCCCAGCACTGAGAGACAGCCCAGTAAGATACCATGGTTGATAGTAATGAAGGACACTGAGAGATCCAGGAGAACTAACAGGTTCACACTCCCCCTGTCCAGTTCTCAGGAGAGCTACTCAACCAAGGGCACAAAAGCAGTCTCTGTTCCAAACCCTGACCTAAAGCCAGACTGAAATGGGTCCAGAAAAATTAGTCTCTTCCAGAAACCCCCAGAGCTCAAAAGCAACCACCATGCTCTAGCACCTTTGTAAAAGCAGAACTGTGCACAAGAAGATATATGGGGCTGTCCGATATTTCTTCTAATGTATAGTTTCTTCACGTACAGACTTCACGTTCCTGGGATCCCAGATCACCGCAGACTGTGACAGCAGCCATGAAATTAAAAGACGCCTGCTCCTTGGGAGGAAAGCGATGGCGAACCTAAACAGCATGATAAAAAGTAGAGACATCACCCTGCCAACAAAAGTCCGCATGGTCAAAGCAATGGTATTCCCAGTAGTCATGTATGGCTGCGAGGGGTGGACTATAAGGAAGGCCGAGCGCCGAAGAATAGATTCTTTTGAACTATGGTGCTTGAGAAGACTCTTGAGAGTCCCTTGGACTGCAAGAAGAACAAATCAGTCAATCCTAAAAGATATCAACCCTGCCTGTTCCCTGGAAGGCCAGATAATGAAACTGAAGCTCAAATACTTTGGCCACCAAATAAGAAGGGAGCACTCACTGGAGAAGACCCTGATGCTGGGAAAGATTGAAGGTCAAAGAAGACGGGGACGGCAAAGGATGAGATGGTTAGACAGTGTCATAGATGCAACGAACATGAAATTGAGCAAACTTCAGAGGACGGCGGAAGTCCGGAAGGCCTGGCGGGAGCTGGTCCATGGGGGCGCGAAGAGGCGGACTCGACTGTGCGACTGAACAACAACAACAAATATTTCTACAAACTCAGCCTAGTTTGTAAGATGGCCCTGTACTTTGATATGGCTGACCTGGCCACTTGGATTCATGTCACAGTAACACTGAAACTATACTACTGTAATGCACTGTACATTGGCCACCCCTCAAAATCAACTCAGAAACTCGACTGGTCCAGAATGCTGCAGCTTGGCTATGAAGGGAAGCTAGATGGAGCATGCATATTACTCCCAATCTGTAGATGCTCCACTGGCTGCCCATCTGCTATCAGGCTCAGTTTCAAGTATTGGCTATCACATACATGGCCTTGACTCCTCTTATTTGCAGGACTACCTCTCTCCTTATGCTCTGCCATAACTACTTGGCTCAAGTCAGTGGGGGAATCTGCAGGTGCCAATTTGCAAATGGGCAAAATCAACAACTGCCTGTACACCTGCTTTCTCCGTCTTGGCTCCTGCTGTCAGTTAACACTGCCATTCCCAGGAATGTGTGGGAGGAATCCTCCTGGCCTCTGCCTGGTACACTAACGGAGTCTACTATCTGGGTTTTATCTGCTTTCGCTTTTCTGACCTTGGATGTGCCAGCTGCTACCGACTCGCTGGGAACAAACGGTTTCTACTTTGCCCGCTCTCTTTTCTCCCCGTGCGCGGACACTGCTTATTGGCCTTTGTTTGTGGAGGGGGGGGGTGTTTTGAACCTAGTATAATTCAGGGTGCCTTTATGTTTCGGGCCATTCCTAACACAAGACGTACACATATCATAGTTATGAACTAACAATAAACAGAATTCTTCTAATGAAGTGCTGTGTGGTGTGATCTGACTATCAAACCCTGACACCTGCCTCGTGGAATGGCTTGACTGCGGAGGTCAGGAAAGCTCCCACTCTCCTGGCTTTCTACAAACTCTGCAAAACTGAACTATTCAAGAGGGCTTTTCTGCACAGATAATAGGGTAAATAAAATAAAATTACTGAGCAGATACTCTTCTTCGTGTTACTTACCTATACCATCTGGAAGCACCTCTAGAAGATTCTGAGAGATGAGGAGGTCAGTTAAAGATGTCAGACCACTTATCTCTTCAGGCAATTTTTCCAGTTTGTTTTCAGAAATATCCAAACATAGCAGGTTTTTCAGGTTTCCTATTTCCTACAAGACAACAATCTAAGTCACGTCTCAGCATGCAACACCCAAAGAATTGACAAGTGTCCCATTACAAAATACTTGAGAGCTACAATTCCTCCTTCTCCCTCTCTGCCCTGAGGCAGTCTGTTTCTAAGGCTATCAGAAGTGACTCACCTGTAAAATTTCTGAATGTGCAACACCTAGCATGTACTAACAATCCAACTCAATTTGATCTCAGGATTATGGGTGCAACCCAACACTGCAAACTAGTAATTCAACATGAAACGACACCCAATTCTGATTACTCATTCAAGGTTAAAGGACTTGGGCTCATAAATGCAACTTCCCCTTTCAAATGACCTAAGCAAATCCAGTCTTGCTGACTAATGTTTCAGCACTGTAACCCCATTAGTTACTGGTACATATCCACCTCTCTTATACCACAAGAGAGTTCTTGCAGAACGATGATTAAATGCTTCTCTTGTTCAGTCTTAGCTGAAGTACTTGGTATATGATTCAGTATTTAAATTTTGAGAACAGTAAAAAAGATATCTGACCGTAAAATTAATACCGTTTTATTTTTAATACTGGCCCCATAAAAGCACACCCTGACTGTAAGTTCACGCCTACACACATTCTGTCATGGATCAGCACTTCAGTTATCACAACAGTCAACACTGCTGAATCAACAAGCTGAAAAGATGGTGGAATGCAGACATTCCAAAACTGCAGCTCACTTCTGTTATGTAGCATGTCTTCATTCTTTAGCTTCCAAAAAAAAAATGTGTAAAGCTGCTCTTCACAAAACTATGAGACATTCTTTCACAATGTTAGGATCCTGAGGATGGGAAGCTTCTTTCTACAAACAGAAGAAAGTACCACCACTGAGCTTTCTATTCTAATTAACCTTGGTCTCTACAAAGTAAGAACAGCCTTGTATACAAAAATCAGTGTTGCCCAGTAAAAGAACCCTACTTAAAAGCTGTTTGCAACTCTTCCCTATTGTATCTTGAAGTAAACTCAGAGGCAGTATCTGGAAAATTTTACTAGGGCAAGTCTGTAGCAAATGAATACAGGCATCTGCTTTCCAAGCAACTAGAAAGAAGCACTACCGTGATTCCTAGCATCAACCAGAAATACCTGTTTAATCACGTGGATTGCTTCCACACACTCTCCACAGTGCACATACTTTAAGAGTCAGAGTGAAGAAAAATGTATATTTAAAAAGAGGAAAAATCTTTATAGGAACAAGAAGACCAATATCAGATCAATGGCCTTCTGTTAAAAGCAGATGTTACCACTGAGAACTACCATCAGAAGTCTCAATATTTAAAAACCCATTGTATGCAATCTTCAAGCTAAATATGTGACAGTCAGAGTTTCACTCTGAGTATTCAGTGTTACTTCTTTGGTAGATAAAAAGCATTTGGACAGTTCTACTGGTCTACTTTGCAGGACTATTGCGAGGATTCTACAGTAATGTACATGATACATTTTCCATATCCTGAAAAATGCAAGACGTAGCATCAAACGGTTCTCATAGCAAATTGATAACCTTTATCAAGCATCCCGGTTAACATAGCATTACTTTAATGGTTACAACAAAGTCCTGAATATCTTTAGGGACCTTGTGTAACTCCCCAATTTTTGTGCTGTCCTTTCACTATATAGTGCCTTTCTAGATTCTTATAGTCTGTACTGGGACACTAACTCCCTTGTTGACTTTCTTGCCACACTAATGGTTTATTCACAACAAGATACGGTAGAAACTAAATCCAGATGTAGCAGTAAGTTTTAGGAGGAGGAGCATATCCTTTCCTCACAAAATCTTTAACTCCAAAATGCATGTACAATCACACAGAGATGAAACTATATTGACAGGGTAAAACACAAAAGTCTATTTTTATATGTCAGTAGATGTGTCCAAACTAAACAAATAATAAACTGAAAAGAAGAGTGCCTTACCTGAGGTAATTCAGCTAGCTGGTTTCCATCCAGCCAGAGATCTTTAAGATTATAAAGTGCACCTATAGTTTCTGGCTGTGATATAAGAAAGAAACACACCACAATTACCCTTAAAAAAAGAAACTCAAAGCCTGGATAACTGAGCTACATCCAGCTAATGAGGTTCTTCTATCGTTATTAAGTTTTCATTTTATTAATTATACCCAAACCCCGTATTAAATAAATTTTGACTTAAACCTATACAGAAAATTATAAGCAAAAATAACCTGTCATTCCAGTTCCACCATTGTCATTAATTAGACAATTCTCAGAATCTATTGAATCTGCTGACAGTACATCAGCAATGGGAAGAATGAGGCAGCCTGGCATGTTACAACCTTTCAGTTCCAAAATCAACTCCTGACAACCCTAGCCACCACACAGACACATCAAAGTTTCAAGGGGTTTTCTTCAGTCCAGGAAAAGAGATACAACATCCACAGCTAAAGATTGCTAAGGGAAAAGAGTCAATTAAAAGTTTTTGATTGTTTTGCTTGAGGATTTGGATTCTGACAAAGGGTGATACATTCAGACAAACTTAGATGGGTAAAACTTGTAATCCAGTCAAAATAATCACTTCAGTACTGATTAAAGGTATATATTTTGTTCTATTAGGCAGCTTTTGAAAGTGAAAGTGCATGGATCTTTGGCAGCCTCTGGATACTTCGTTTTGTCTTCCAAGCTGGTAGCTTCAAAGTTAACACTGAACATATAATTCAATTCAGTGCACCTATACATATTTGAACATACATAGGACCTTAAATCAGCTACAGATCTCATAGCAGCTCTATCTCATTTTTTTGTCCACCATGTGTTGCTCTTTGTACTTTGCTATGCTGTTACATCTATTATATCCATTGTGGGAGGTCACGTGCTAAAATACCGGAGCCACTGGTAGAAGTAATCAGATTAACAAGAAGTTAATCTTCTTGTTAACAGACTGCCTCGTGAACAGACTGCCTCGGGAGGTGGTGGATGCTCCTTCGCTGGATGTTTTCAAACGGAGGCTGGACGACCATCTTTCGAGTATTTCGTAGGGCTATCTGTCAGGATCGGACCTTAGCCTGACTGTTGCTCATGTAATTGTAACTGTGGTTCTCTGATGTACATAGCTTCGCACTGTTATTGTTTACCCTGCTTCATGCCCGCACCAAACGGTGGAGTTGCCGGTGGGGGAGTCGGGGCACTGGGAACTACGTGCGTTTATCGTTCACCCCATGGCGCAATTCCCAATGGTGCTAAGGAGTCCCTGGCTGGCTACCCACGATCCGTATGTACAGTGGAGCCAGGGCGTTATAACTTTCCTAGACCCTCGTTGCAAAGACCATCAGTGGAACCTGGAATGGAGCGAGGAGCTGCTCGCGGTTCCTGCCTGGGTGTGTGGCTAGTGAGGAATTACGGTGCATCCCAGAGGAGTACTGGGACTTGAGAAAGGTGTTCAAAGAGTGGGAAGCTGATGAACTTCCCCCTCATAGGAAAATGGATTGTGCTATTGAAATCCTGGAGGGACAGACTTTGCCTAAAGGAAAAATGTATGCCATGAATCCTGTGGTGGGAGGAGTTAAGACGTTTCATTGACAAAAACTTGGAGAGAGGCTTTATCCGCCCTGCTACGTCCCCATTTGCTGCCCCTGTACTGTTTCAGAAAAAGAAAGACGGTGGACTGAGACTATGCACGGACTACAGGGGTTTGAATGCTGTTTCTATGTTGAACGCTTACCCGTTGCCCTGATAAAAGACTTGTTGGGTGAAGCGGCAAAGGGGAAGATTTTCACCAAACTGGACTTACAGGATGCTTACTTTCACATGCGCATCTGTGAGGGAGATGAACATAAGACTGCTTTTAACACCCCTCTGGGCCAGTTCGAGTACTTAGTCATGCCTTTTGGCTTGGCTGGGGCTCCAGGGGTGTTCATGAACTTAATTAATGAAGTGTTACACAAGCACTTATTCAAAGGGGTGGTCTGTTACCTTGATGATGTGTTGATTTATTCCCAAGATATGGAATCACATGTAAAATTGGTGAGGCAAGAACTAAAAGCTCTGTACGCCAACCAACTATATGCTAAACTGTCAAAATGTGAGTTCCACAAAACAGAGATTGATTTCCTGGGTTACCGTGTCATGCAGCAGGAGCTGCGGATATACCCCGCAAAGGTTCGGGATGTAGTAGGGTGGGAGCCCCCCAAAACGAGGCGGCAGCTCCAATGTTTCTTAGGTTTCAGTAATTTTTACAGAAATTTCATTCCCCACTTCGCCCAAGTTTCCCTGCCCCTCACAGACCTGTTGAAAATGAAAGGGAAAGGTCCTGAAGCTAAAGGGGAGGGGGTGTAAGTTAAACTGGACCCCCCAGGTGTCAAAAGGCGTTTGATCAGCTTAAAGCATGCTTTACTTCTGAACCCATTTTGCATCACCCAAATGAGCGTGAAAGATGCGTACAAGTGGCGGGGAGCAGATTGGGAGGGTTTAAATGGCTCCCAGCCATTTAAACCTCCAGTTTTGCTCCCCGCCACTTTGAGGGGGGAAGCAAAACAAGAGGTTGAAATATAGTGGTGAAGTGCCTCCCATGGGGCATTTCATCCCCTCCTTTCTGCTAGCCATGGCTTTCCCTGGCCAGCAAAAAGGAAGAGGTGAAGTGCATTGCAGGGGGCACTTCATCCCCTGGAAGGCACTTCCTCCCTTCTTTTCTGATGGCTGCAGTGAGCCGTGACTATTAGAAAGGTGGGAGGGAAGATCTCCCGGGAAGGGCCTCCCCCATCCTTTTTTGCTGGCGACAGCAAGCCACAGCCAGCAGAAAGGTAGACTGAAGATCCCCCAGAAAGGGACTCCACCCCTTCTATTTAAACCCTGCTTTCTGCTCCCCATGGAGAGCTGCAGGGAGTGGTTTAAATGGCTCCAGGACATTTAAACCAAACAGCTGAGAGGCAGGGAGCATCAGTCATTCAGCTGTTTCTCATGAAGAGCAGAAAGCAGGGGTAAACCACTGCTTTCTGCTCTTCATGAACCATCAAGGGCCACCACGAACTGCACCAAAATTTGTGGTAATTCATCCCAGTTCTTCAGTTCACAAACTTCGGTTCACAAATCCTGAACAGTCCAAAACTCATGACAAACTTTAGTTTGTCAGCTAGTTTGTACCCAATCCTAGAAATGATGATATGCCTCTCTAGGAGTCACCAGAAACAATATGGTAATACCTAGGGAAGTGTGATATCACCTCAAAGTTTTTTTCCAGGAGTGACATTATGCTGTTGCTGATTTAATGTTTATTTTTCTCCTTCAGGTTGCTGGAGTGCCTGGATGTGAAATTAGTCCTCTCTACGAACTGCCAGCCATGGTTTTACCACAGTGTTTTCCATTGATTCCTAGAGAGAAATGACATCATACCATTGCTGAAGGCCACACACCCCATGTCCTCACACACTTGGACTCCCACTGGTTGCCAGGCTGGGCTTAGCAAACCTAAGTCTGCCATTTCTGTAGCTTCTTAAAGAGTCCTTAAAAGCACAAGTAACAAGAATCAGAAAAGGCATTTTCCCTCCAATCTTACGACAATTCCCTCATTCCAAGGACTTCGTTTTGAAGTGGTTATAACCCTTAAATACACATAGCATCCTGTGCCAAAGTGGTGGAGGAATTAATTTAGGAAATGAATGTCTTGGGGTGCTATACACTGATCCTCATCACCACATCCAGGAGAACAACAGCTAATGGGGACTCAAGTGGTTCAGTTTCACCTACTCTCTTCCTTCCCCTCCCCTTTAACTAAGATATAACTGTCCTCAGAATTCTGTGGCTCATGATCATCCTCAGTGATCAAGCCTTCTGTGTAAAGGACAGGGGTGTTTTAATTTATAAACTAATATTTCAGTATGGGCAGGAGGAGGGAAATGTTGAGATATTCCCTCTCTAATTACATCAGCCTATTTGGAGTGAAGTTCTTTTAAAAACAAACAAAATAAACAAAAACTAATATCTGCTTAACTGTGTTGACTATCACTGCTTTTGTGATAAGAACAATACATTTTTAAAAGCTTGTGATTGGACAGAATAAGTTGGATAAATCATTGTAGTGTGTGTCTGTAGGAACTACTGGCAAATTCCTTCCTGATACAGATCTCCCCCTCCAGGGCGCTACAAGCCTCCAAGGGGCTTCAGCACTTCACAGTCCTCCATTTACAGTTCTCCTTTAAAAAACACTCAACCATTCCTCTGCATTTCACACTTCCTAGAACATGCTCAGTCCTCGTGATCACACTACTTCTGATGGAAGGTTTTTTTAAAAAAATAATAATAATTACTAAGTCATATTTTTCTACATACCTGCCCCCCCACAGTACGTAGAAATCCCTACTTTGTGGATCTACATCACTGCACAACCAGTAGGCACTTGATCATTATACCAGCTGTGGAGAAACACCATTTTGTGTATATGTTTAAGTTGGCATGGGCCAGATAGGAGGGGACCATCAAACCTGAGGTAGGCCTTGGCCTAGTCTCCTCCTCATTCCCCCCCCCCCGTCTCCAACCAGTAGTCAGAGGGCAGCTCCCTAGAGAGGACAGGAAGTCCATCAAGGCTGTGAGGAGATCTGCCCCAGAATGCTGCAGGAGGGAAAGCCACTTCTTGGGCGGGAAGGGCTGTTTGATATAATGGAGCTTTTGGGCGGGAAGCAGTCTTTGAAAATTGAGGTCAGTCTGTCTGAAGTCTGGAGCCAGTCAGGCTGTCGCCTGGAGTCTGCAGGAGGCAGAGGCCATGTTGAGAGTTGTGCTAATCTAACTTCCTCCAGTGAAAGCAAGTCATGTGCCTGCCCTGCAGACCATCTAGACAGGGTATGTGTAGTGAAGGGAGAGATGGAGCGATTTATTATTCACCTTTATTTTGATTCTTCAGTTCACTGTTAATATGCCTGTATATAGTTGAGTGGTTTCAAAATAAATCCTTTTATTGTTGACACTGAGAAGTCCCTCTGAACCGCATAGTTCCCCCAGCCGCTTGGACACGCTAGGAGTGGGTTGGGGACTCTCTGAGGAAAACA